CTTCCTCAGCTGTGGCTGTTGCACTGTGTGTTGCGGATCCCTGGATGTCGCTGTCACCTCGTCCCAGCAGTGGTGCCTCGTCGTTAGCCGCTCCGTCTCTGCCCGCTGTCCAGGCAGCAGCAGCAGCAGCAGCATGGAAGTACTCTGGGCCGGGCTCATCCGGCTGCATTCCACGCCGGCCGTTCTTCAGTAGCCGTCTGGCTGGTTCCTCGCCTCTCTCGCCCTCTTCCTCCACGCACACCGGACCCTCGCCATGCGCGTACCCATTGCTGTCCTGTGCTGCGTCCGGCTCCGCGACGTGCTCTGGTCCTGGCTCGAACAGCCCTCTCTCCTCTTTGCTCCCATTGCGCTGTTTGCCTTGGGCCGCGGCCACTGCCGACTCGTTGTTCGGCGCATAGCGACCGGTGATGTTTTGCCGAGGCGCGCGTTTTTCGATAACCTGAAAGCAGGCGTGCGGGCCCACCGCTGCTGCTGATGCTGCTTTCATCCCGAAGAATTCGAGCATTGCTGGCGACACATCCAGGCCCTTGCGACTCTGACGCTTCGAGGCGGCGGCTGCTATTGTTTCCGCGTCCAGCACAGTCGGCATCTTCTCGGACAATGACTGCGGTGATCTGCTGCTGCGACAACTGCTACTGCTGCTCATCTTACTTTTTGGTCGCGGCGAGCGACTGGCATTTGACGATGGCGAATAATTGTTGGAGGAGCGTGAAGCTGTTCGGTCGTCCGGTGATTTTGATGGTGCCTGGCCGCTTCTGGTTGGCTTCGATTTCCTGGGTGCCGCCGCTGCAGCTGCAGCAGTGCTAACGTTCGGGATGCGCCCCGCGTCCGGAAGCAGCTTAGCCGTGGGCTGCGCACAGTGCACATCACTCGCTTCGCTGAAATAAACCTCGACCGGTGAATGAGGCGTTGTGCTGACTCGAAGCGTGTACAAACGCCCCTTGAGGGGCGCCAGAAACGGGAAAATGTTTGCGGCTTCACTGAGCCAGTGCTCAGCAACCACTGCTGCCTGTTACCGCTGTGGCCGTCGCGCTCCTTGCAATGTTCCAGGACAGTGCATCTAGAAATACTCTGCTGCTGCTTCTATCTGGCATCAGTCCACTCTTCCTCAGATCTTATGCCTGCAACTGAGTCATTATTAACAGGGACAAATGAATGTGACGCGCGCTGCCTGTCTCAGATGCCGTTGCTCGCTGCACGCTAAATTGCCGAAATGCGCACACTGCCCTCCCTCTGATCGGAAAAAAAAATTTTTTTTTCCGAGGAAAGGAATCCCTCAGTTTTACAGACAAAAAAGAAATCCTGAACACATATACACCAGCACTCCAGAAACGGCCAATGAAGCAAGCACTGGGCGAAAGCCCGCGATGCGCCACCCGCTTTGGCATGAGGAGACACAACATGAAATATCACGCGGGCGCACACGTATAGAACAGATCGATCTATTAACAAAAAATGAGGGAGGAGCAGACGGGGAGTGAGATATGACGGTAAGACAGGGATGAGGGAAGGGTCGCTAATGCGATTTTGCTTACTGTACTTGGGATGTGTTTTCCAGCCAAACTTTTTAAGGGCAAGGCCGGCTGGGAGAACTAGTACCAAAATTAGACATTAAAGACTAACCTGAATCGAGTGTCTAGCTTCTCAAATTTATGTTTGATCAAACTACAGGAATTAACAAACAGTAAATTTTTAGCTATTCTGCTGCCAGCCAGAGATCTGGGCGCTTTTGCACCTTCCAGGGAGCGCGGACCAAATCTTTATATTTCTTAATCAAGTGAACTTAAACGTTTCTCGATAAAATTAGCACTAGCTCTTTTTCAGCGCCTTTTAATCAAAATGCAAGTTAGTAAAGTAAATTAAACCTGTAATGCGATACCTTAAAAAAATTTCGAGAACTCCCAAAGTTTTTCAATTACTTTCCCTGCTTTTTCAAAAAATTTGCCTGCATTGCTGTTACAGTACCACCTGTTGCTGCTGCTGCTACCGTACCAACAAAGCTTAACTACGACTCTAGGTGTCTTACGAATAATGAAGTAGGGGGTGTAGCTTTCATTACTGGGATGTTTTTTA